AGATTTTGGAAATTGAACGAAGTTCAATTTCAGACTCCAGATCTAGACTTTTTTTAGCCGAGTCATCCAGAATAAGCCGAGTCATCCAGAATAAGCTGAGTCATCTAGAAAGAGATGGATAAATAAAATAGGAAGGTAGGATAGGATAGAATAGGAAAGAACGATAGGATAGAATAAGAAAGAAGGATAGGATAGAATAGAATAGGAAGAAAGGATAGGATAGGATAGGATAGGATAGGAAGGATAGGAAGGAAAAGATATGAAGGAAGGATAGATAGGAAGGATAGGGTAGGATGAGATAGGAAGGATGGATGAATTTTTCAATATTTTCTTCTCTACTCTTGACTTTCTATCAGGATACCATCAGATCGATTTTTCTCGAAATTTCAAAACGCTATCACTTCCGAACCGGAAGTCGGATCGAAATTTGGTTTGCAGATTCGGATTCCTGACAAAATTCTACCCCTAATTCATAACTCATACGTTAAATTTGGAGATTTTTTATTTTGACCTACTTTTCGGACACGCCATAACTTCCGAACTGAAAGTCGGATCGAAATTTGGTTTGCAGATTCGGATTCCTGAGAAAATTCTATACTTAATTCATAACTCAAACGTCAAATTTGGAGAACCTTTTATTTTGACCTACTTTTCGGACACCATATCTCAAAAGTGGGTCAAAATACTTTTTGACGGCAAAAGGCTAACACTATTAGCATATTCTTGGCTACATGTATACACAATTTCGAAGAATATAATTAAAGTGTAGTGTCAGAATCGAAAAAATAAGGAAAACCTATGAATTTGACCTAGATTTTGACCTAGGCATTTCGGTGTCCAAATTGTGAAGCTAGATGGCTTTTGAGGTCCCCTTCTTTTAAAGGCTTTGATTATATGAAGCTGAACTCAGTCTATATTCCGTATTTTTCACTTCAAAAAAATATTTTTTCCCATTGACTTAACATGGGCACCAAATTTAGCGATTTTTGAGTTTTCAAAACGCCATAACTTCCGAACCGGAAGTCAGATCCAAATTTCGTTTTCAGATTCGGAATCCTGAGAAAATTTCCTATAAGACTAATATCCTGGACATTTGATTCGGAGAACTTTTTTTGGACCTCGTTTTCGGACACTGATATCTCGAAATCGGTTTGAGATATCAAAAAACTAAATCGACCCTAGGTTTTCTACTTTTTTATAAGGAACACAATGAAAAAAAACCGGATCGAAAATATTAAACGACGACCGAGAAAATCGAAAAAAGTGACAAAGTACTGGATTTGACCTAGTTCTTGACCTTTGACCTAGATAAAAATTTGACCCAATTTCCGAGGAACTAGATTCTGGACCTAAATTGACCAAATGACTGACTTTACTGAAAATTTTATGGTTATTGAGAAAACTGGTTTAGAATAATAATAATCAGAATAATAATAACTAGACTTTGGAAATTGAACGAAGTTCAATTTCAGACTCCAGATCTAGACTTTTTTGAGCCCAGTCATCTAAAATAAGCCGAGTCATCCAGAATAAGCTGAGTCATCCAGAATAAGATGGATGGATAAAATAGGAAGGTAGAATAGGATAGAATGGGAAGGAACGATAGGATAGAATAAGAAAGAAGGATAGGATAGAACAGAATAGGAAGAAAGGATATGATAGGAGAGGATAGGATAGGAAGGATAGGAAGGAAAGGATACGAAGGAAGGATAGATAGGAAGGATAGGATAGGATCAGATAGGAAGGATGGATAAATTTTTCAATATTTTCTTCTCAACTCTTGACTTTCTATCAGGATACCATCAAATCGATTTTCCGAAATTTCAAAACACCATAACTTCCAAACCGGAAGTCGGATCTAAATTTGATTTAAAGATTCGGATTCCTGACAAAATTCTACCCCTAATTCATAACTCATACATTAAATTTGGCGAGTTTTTATTTTGACCTACTTTTTGGACACGCCATAACTTCGGAACCGGAAGTCGGATCGAAATTTGGTTTGCAGATTCGGATTCCTGAGAAAATTCTATACTTAATTCATAACTCAAACGTTAAATTTGGAGAATTTTTTATTTTGACCTACATTTCGGACACCATATCTCAAAAGTGGGGCAAAACACTTTCTGACGGCAAAAGGCTAACACTATTAGCACACTCTTGGCTACATGTATACAAAATTTCTAGGAATATAATTAATCTGTAGTGTCAGAATCGCAAAAATAAGGAAAAACTTTGAATTTGACCTAGATTTTAACCTAGGCATTTTGGTGTCCAAATTTTGAAGCTAGATGGCTTTTGAGGTCCCATTCTTTTAAAGGCTTTCATTACATTTAGCTGAACTCGGTCTATATTTAGTATTTTTCACTTCAAAAAAATCTTTTTTCCCATTGACTTAACATGGGCACCAAATTTAGCGATTTTTGAGGTTTCAAAACGCCATAACTTCCGAACCGGAAGTCGGATCAAAATTTGGTTTGCAGATTCGGATTCCTGAGATCATTCTACACTTATTCCATAATTCACATGTTGAATTCGGAGAACTTTTTGTTCTGACCTACTTTCCGGACGCCATATCTCAAAATCGGTAAGAGATATCAAAAAATAAAATCGACTATGTCCTAACCTACTTTTTTATTAGGAACACAATGAAAAAAACCTGGATCAAAAATATTGAAGGACGACCGAGAAAATCGAAAAAAGTGACAAAGTACTGGATTTGACCTGTAGATTTTGACCTAGGGATTTTGGTGTCCAAATTTTGAAGTTAGGTAGCCTTCGAGGTCCCCTTCTTTCATAGGCTTTCATTATTTTAAGCTGTACTTAGTCTATATCTCGTATTTTACACTTCAAAAAAATCTTTTTTCCCATTGACATAACATGGGGCACCAAATTTAGTGATTTTTGAGCTTTCAAAATGTAATAACTTCCGAACCAGAAGTCGGATCGAAATTTGGTTTGCAGATTCGGATTTCTGAGAAGATTTTAAACTTAATTCATAACTCAAATGTTGAATTTGGAAAAAAAATTATTTTGACCTACTTTTCGGACACCATATCTCAAAAGTGGGTCAAAATACTTTCTGACGGCAAAAGGCTTACGCTATTAGCACCCTCTTGGCTACATGTATACACAATTTCGAGGAATATAATTAAAGTGTAGTGTCAGAATCGCAAAAATAAGGATAAACTATGAATTTGACCTAGATTTTGACCTAGGGATTTTGGTGTCCAAATTTTGAAATTAGGTAGCCTTCGAGGTTCCCTTCTTTCATAGGCTTTCATTATTTTAAGCTGTAATTAGTCTATATCTTGTATTTTACACTTCAAAAAAATCTTTTTTCCCATTGACATAACATGGGGGACCAAATTTAGCGATTTTTGAGCTTTCAAAATGTCATAACTTCCGAACCAGAAGTCGGATTGAAATTTGGTTTGCAGATTCGGATTCCCGATAAAATTCTATACTTAATTCATAACTCAAACGTCAAATTTAGAGAATTTTTTATTTTGACCTACTTTTCGGACACCATATCTCAAAAGTGGGGCAAAATACTTTCTGACGGCAAAAGGCTAACACTATTAGCACACTCTTGGCTACATGTATACAAAATTTCGAAAAATATAATTAATCTGTAGTGTCAGAATCGCAAAAATAAGGAAAAACTTTGAATTTGACCTAGATTCTGACCTAGGCATTTTGATGTCCAAATTTTAAAGCTAGATGGATTTTGAGGTCCCATTCTTTTAAAAGCTTTCATTATATTTAGCTGAACTCAGTCTATATTTCGTATTTTTCACTTCAAAAAAAATCTTTTTTCCCATTGACTTAACATGGGCACCAAATCTAGCGATTTTTGAGCTTTCAAAACGCCATAACTTCCTAACCGGAAGTCTGATTCAAATTTGGTTTTCAGATTCGGAATCCTGAGAAAATTTCCCATAAGACTAATATCCTGGATATTTGATTCGGAGAACTTTTTTTGGACCTCGTTTTCGGACACTGATATCTCGAAATCGGTTTGAGATATCAAAAAACTAAATCGACCCTAGGTTTTCTACTTTTTTATAAGGAACACATTGAAAAAAACCCGGATCGAAAATATTGAAGGACGACCGAGAAAATCGAAAAAAGTGACAAAGTACTGGATTTGACCTAGTTCTTGACCTCTGACCTAGATAAAAGTTTGACCCAATTTCCGAGGAACTAGATTCTGGACCTAAATTGACCAAATGACTGACTTTACTGAAAACCTTATGGTTATTGAGAAAACTGGGTTAGAATAATAAGAATAAGAAGAATAAGAAAACTGACGAAAACAATAGACTCCAGATTTTCAATCTGGAGTCTAATAATAAAGAAAACTGGCAAAAGCAATAGACTCCAGATTTTCATCTGGAGTCTAATAATAAGAAAACTGGCAAAAGCAATAGACTCCAGATTTTCAATCTGGAGTCTAATTAAAGTAAACCTTTTATTTCATTAACAAGATACTTTTTTTAAATCAACCAAACTTTCCCTTGTACAATTACAATATTGAGAGACCTAAACACATTGTGTATATGTTGTTTTGTTCCAATGAGGTTGAGATAGATGTTTTGTTTCATTCCAAACATATGATGTGTTTTCAAAAACAATATAGAGAAAAGTATGAATATTGTTTTTCAAATTCAACTGTTACGAATTAAAAGATGATCACTAGATTGACGATGTGTAAAGTTTTCAGAATTTTTTGATGATGTGGTTTAAGAGAAGCATGTCTTCAATTCAGTTTGCCATATCGATACCAATCCTTTACGACCTTTCAAGAAAAAAATGAATACACATCTTATGTCAGATTGGCAGGTTTTATTTCTGCTAATATGTCAACCATTCCTTAGTAAGACAAAATGATCACCTAAATAAAGAAATATAAGCGAGGTGTTCCAAAATATTGTAACATGATAGCGCAAAATTACCTTGTCTAAATTGTCAAAAGTATTTTTTGCTAGGTTACTTACTGTTAGGGTTCTATGTCTGCCCCTACGTTTCTTCGACTCCAGTCCGTAATCTGTATAATCCAAGCCAGAATCTGTGGTTGACCTGATGTGCTTTTTAGGAGTTCCGAACCTGCAGTGAAACAAAGCAGTTCAGAGCAATGTAACAATATCACCCTAAACAGACAATCGCCTAAAATAACATTCATATGATGAATTGATTGGCAAATTAGCATTTAGCTCTGAACCAAAAACATTTGTACATGGCCAGTTTTAATACTTTCCACTCTTGTGGATCTGGATATGCTTGAGCATGCACATCATAGCTGCCTAATTTGGCATCAATAATCTTAATCTGCATAATTCATACCATAGTTCCTCAAGAAACAACTCATTTACAACCAAAAATGACAATCTCAACTCATAATGGTTGGCTGCAGTTATGTTGTAGCACTGGTATATATCACATTTCATAGTATTAAATATTTTTTCATAGCGAGTGGATTATATGGTCTCTAGGTTGTCTTCCGTATGATATTCTATCTTGATTCCTTGTATTTTACAAAATAAAGTAGCATAACATGAAAAAGCATTTGTTGTCCGTACTTATCATGAAAGAGAAGTGCTGACTCTGGTAGAAGTGGGTCATTGCGGTTGAACTCGTGCAACAACGCACGCTCAGATCTCCTCAGATCATTCGGCTGTTTGTCAGGGTTTTGCCATTTAGGCCTTGATTGTGCATATTTTTCTGGAAAATAATAATAAACTGTCTGATCCCAAAAATTCCGTGTGTTGTCATCTCATATTTACAGCTTCTGACAAGGATTATGATTTGATTTCATTTTTTCAAACTAATACATATTTTGAATTCTATTGAATAATGAGCAATGAATAAATCAAATATTGCCAATTGTTCATACCATTGCAAGCTCTGCTACTTTTGTGTCATAATTGTTCTAAAGCATTGTGTCTATTTCATCAAATGTAAGTGTGGATTACCAACCAATTATAACTCTATGAAGCATTTACCAACTTAAGCAATAAACAGATGGTATATATCTGGTCGGAAACCAAAATACGATTAAGTCAAACAAAGATATGCAGTGGGACTAATAGGCTACAGTACTACTTGAAGCTTGAATACTTTGATGCAACACATCCATGATGCAACACATTCTATTACTCTACTTACTGTATTCCTTTCTGCCTGTATTGCATGATAAGTGGAGGAGTATGATTTTATTCGTATGTGTCAGTTAACTACATTATAATAAATTAAGCATAATCTTACTTGCTAGTAATACGATTTCAATCATCTATCATGTCTAGTCAATTCGTTAAAGATTTTTAGCTACTTAATTGTTTTGCTAATTTTACAAATATTTTTAACTTCATATTATTAACTTCATGCCCTGTATATGGGCCTGTTTTCTAGTCATTTGACTATGGTTTTGGCCCTTGGGGCACCACTCCTTTTCATATTCTTTTGGGACCACCCTGTATATGATAAATTCATATACTTACGACTAGTTTTAGGATCTAGTTTCCAAGATTTTGCATATTCAGCACCTTTTTCCCTCACGTGAAACCTGGGTTTGATTTTAGTTCCATCCCCTATGGTTCCGTACATGTCATTCTGAAAGTGGAATGATAACAGGACTTTGGCTCTTTGTAACGTATGAGCAAGAAATACCAATGAATCAATATTTTAGAGCAAAATAATATAAATTAACTTCGAGATAGAAGAAAAATAATTCAACACAATACTGAAGTAAAAAAACTTTACAAATTGTTTATTCAAACAGTGAAGTAAAAAGACTACAGGTATATGCCAATTGGCATACATTAATATTGCCTTATTTTTGTCAGAAACTAATAAATACAGTTTTGCTAATCATTAGTATCAATTTGAAGTATTCAATCTTATTATTCAGGAATGCCACCCGGGACAAGGTTTTTATAGTCATGTAATAGTTAAAAGGTAATTGATCTTCAAGAATAAGGCAAAGACAGAACGAAATACCTTTCTTGGGGAGAGAACATCCATGTCTAAGGTCCTGACACATGCGACATAATGTTTTTTCCAGGCACCATACTCATTGTCTTGGGGTTGGTAGGGTATGTACCAGCCTTGCTTCATACACTTGGGACTCCAAAGAATATCCTACAATTATATCACTTGTAAATTTATATTGTATGAAAACTAGAATTGAATAATAAATAAAAATAAAAAAAAAAAAAAAATTACATGGTGATCCAGAAATAAGGTAAAAAATACTGCAATTTGTATTCTTGATTTAATATTCCTGAAGGTTGATATAGGTGTTTCCCAAACATTATTGAATTCATATATCAAAAATGTAGATCAAACTGTTTCATTGGTTGAGATGATGGTTAATAGTACAGTAAACAGGAACATGACTTTAAGAACATTTTATTAAAAGATCAACACTCCCAAAATGTCTGAGGGGTGTGTATTACTTTGTATAAAACTTATGAAACCTTTCAGAAATCAGGTGATATGATAAAGTTTAGTAATTCTACCTGCTCTGCTAGAAACTTCCAGTGCCAACACACCTTGGCAGCCCGGCATAAACTACGAGGGTCCAGGAATGAGAAGATATATAAGGTCAGAAACCTGAAATCAATATCACTTTTTATGACTCAGATTTATGTATGTAGTTTTACCTTGTATTTGATGGCCATTTACATTCCCACCAAGCTAAATGTTGTTGAGTTAATACAACATGAAACATTGCATCAGTGGTGGTACAATCTAATTACAGTAAAACCTGTCTAATCCGAACACCCATGGGACCAGCCAAAAGCGTTCAAATTGGCAGGTGTTCAAATTTCGAGGATTTTGTTGGTTGGGGGGGGGGATTTTCATTGTTCAGTGCACTATATTGAACACTTAATACTAAGTCAGAAAACAATACATGTTGTTGATGAGTTACTTCTACAATAGGCCTATAGCCTATATGCTATGTTTTATTTACATTTTGAACAATTTCATCATTTTAGTAAAAATAACTCTTATATTTTGGCAAATTCTTTGTAATACACTGTAAAAGTATATGATAGTCTCGTACGAAATCTTATGCTTATCAAATGGCTTATCCCATATTATGGTTATATAGCACTGCTTTACTTTTGTTTGAAAAAGTCCTTCATTGTTGTTTGTTTCTTGGCACTTTTAGCATTAGCAATATTTGAGTAGATATCCTCTTCAAGTAAAAATAATTTTTCATGAGTTCATTGGAGATGATGTATAATCCTTCAAAATATCAAGGGCATTCAGGATGTCAGATGTATGCGAATATTACGAAGTTGGATTTTTTCTCCTTCTCGTGATATAATCGTGTCTGCAAATGGCGTCTGTGTTGTCTTTATGATTATAAAACATTTACTGATTGAATCTTAACTATCATAACAGACCCATGGGATATAAAACAGTTAAGACCTGTTCATAATCCAAATCAAAAACATCCAGTTAATTTACAATAAGGATAAACCAATTATCTCCCAGACTCTCACCTTTCTCTTAATCCAAATCAAAAACATCCAGGTGATTTCCAATAATGATAAATCAATTATCTTCTTGATTCACACCTTTCTCTTAATCCAAAGATAAAACATTCAGTTGTTTTCTCATAGGATAAACCAATTAACTCCTGTATTCACACCTTTCCAAAACATCCTGCTGTTTTCCACAAATTAGGGATGTCACTGAGACTAAATAAGTTAATTAGGACAATTGGTTCTTTGATTGCATTTGTATATATGTAAAGATAAATAACAACTAAAACATTGACTCAATATGTAGCTTTAATTGAAATGTCCAGACATTTGATTTCTGATAAAAATGTTCAGATTAGACAGGTCACTTTTTCAAATCTGGTTGTTCACTGTTCAAATTAGGAGGTGTTCAGATTTCAAGTTTTTTTTAACATGGGAGTCAATGGGAGGAAAAAATGGGACCGAAAAAAAGTGTTCAAATTGGAAGGTGTTCGGATTAGCCAGGTGTTCAGATATACAGGTTTTACTGTATGTATAACAGAATCCATGAGACATTTAAGATGCAGTGAGGTGGATGAAAGATATTGAGAGTCACCTCAGGAAGTGAACAGAAAAGTTGATGTAAAATGACTTACCTCGGTAAGACTACAGCAAAATCAAGATGGCGGAGAGGAACACGTTCTTGGAACCAGTTCTGCATGAACATCAGTTGGGATCTTTCACTTTTGTTGAGAATTAACCTCAGGAATTTCTTTCTTTGGGAATCCGTCCACATATCATACTGGAAATAGAATAGGTCAAGTTGCAAAAGTAGGTCATATTACCAAAGAAGGTCAAAATGCAAAAGGAGGTCACATTCCAAAAGGAGGTCAAATTAGAAATATATTATGGATAGGTAAACCCCCTACAATAAAACTGGATGATTTTATATGATCAACAGAATCAACTCACCATGAAGTAAAGTGACAGTAACATTGCAAAAATTGCCAAAATATAAATGAAGTCCAACATTTTGAAAAACACTTTAGTCTGAGATGACACTCATGTGCCAATACTTTAAACTGCATCATTTATTTATCTGATTTGGGAACACGAGAAATGATACAAAATGATAATCAGTTGGTATTCCAGACCCCACATCTAATTCCATAAGCTTGATCAATCGTCTAGCCAAGTGAGCCAAAATGGTCACAATGTCTATTTTGGCTGATTGGTTCAACCGTGTGTAAGTTCTGACTTCTTTTTATAAACTATCACTTTTGTTTATTTTATTTTTCTTGTCTGACAAAAAGATGGCTAGAAGAAAAAATTGACGAAGGATCACAGATATACATCCTCCTAGTAGCCTTTTAAAGTTAACATATTGCCTCATCTTTAATGCTTACCCAATGCGACACTAACTCCTTTCTTTCTTTAAAAATCTGCAATCAAAATAAAAAATAAAGATGCATTTCTAAAATTATTAAAAGACAAGCTTATATAGGCACATTTCTTCTTTTAAAATGTAGACCTCATATCAGCAACATACATGTACATGTATATGTCATGTCTGAAGTTTTCAATAGCTGCACTATTTTTTTCTTTTTTTAAACAAAAGGTTTATTTCATTGATGTATTTTTCATGGCATAATACACAATCATGCGGCAATCGCCTTTTGGCATTGTATGTCCGCTTTCAATAACAATGTTACATATAAAATAATAAAAATTAAAAAAAACAAAAAAACACAACCACTGTTTAGATCTGGCATGTTATAAATGAAGAGTACTGCTGCAACAAAGATGGGCGACCTACCATTTCTTTGTAATTGAAAATGTGTGAAACTAGTTTTTTGTTTGACAGAAATGTCATTTTACCTTGTCAAACTTATTACTGTCAATTGCTTTAATTGCTGTTTTAATTTGGCTGATTTGGCAGATTGATAAAAAATGGCAAATTAAGTCTCCGCCAATGTTTTGAAAAAATCTATTAGGTCTTATTGAGAATTCTTTCCATATTTTGATTGTAACCCCTTTTACATTTTAGCTCATATATGAAGGCAAGACCTCCCTGTCACCCAAGAGTAACCTGGCCACGTGACTTCCTATCTAGCCTTCCAATATCATATTTTACTGATGAATCAATCAATCCACCATAGAAGAAATTAAGAGTATATGAACTAATATATCTATTTGAAATATGAAACAAATATGTAAAAGAGACATGCTATACTCACTTGTTCATTTGAGGGTCTATGTACAACTGGTGTCCATGCACTATTCATGAACTTGAAATTTCTACTTTGATATTGTTCTGGTAGTTTTGTAGCAGACTTTTTCTTATCTATAGTTTTACCAAGTGTCTTTGAATCATCTAATATAAGTCTCTTGATTGGTGAAACTTTGGCTGTTCTTTTGGAAGAACCATCCATCTCCACAAATGGTCCCCCTTGAGCTGGTGAGGCCATCACTCTCACTTTTAGTTATGCAGCTGCTAATTTATTGTCATCTTCGGCTTTTGGAAACCTTGGTAAAAATATTTGACCTGAAACAAAGGTTTTAAAGTGTTATATATCATTGACATTTACAGATGAAAACATTTAATGTATTGCAATTACAATGGGTTATCCCATAAAAACTATCTATAAAAGAACTTTGGAGGTTTGTAGTGAACCTAAACTTTTCATGAACAAAACTGCAAAACATTCTTTATATAAGCAATATATTACTTTATAATGTCATTCTTTAGGCACCATAAAACAATACAAATGTAATAGCAAACTATGGAGTCATAAAATCATTTCCAGATAAAATTATGGAAAATATCATTTCAAGATTACAATTTGAAGTTTGATTCTATTATAACTTTGAGGCATTCTATCAAGGAATATCAGACATTTCTTATTTCTAAATTGAGAAGTAGGTTAGTACTTGGAACTCTATGATATTGAGTCAGATTTAGGCGACTTTAAAGTCTGCATCTATGCTTTTCAATAAGCAAGTACAATACATCAGGCCTGCGACTGACCATTGGAGGGTGAAACATTTTAGTCCATGGAAAGTTTGAAACGCAAAACACTCCACTAACCCCTGCATGAATTTCTGATTTATTGTCATTCCTAGTATGACATTACTGAGTCTTAGAACTCTAATTACAGGTCCTCATAAATACAGTATGTATATTTTAAAGTTAACAATTTTGTCTAAAAGCTGATAGAGGGTTTTATTAAATCCCTACCAAGCTTTGTTAGCTGGGATAAAATGATGGGATAGCATGTTAGTCCTTGTAAATTTGTATACTGTACAATAATAAATAATGTATTAAGTAATCTAGATGATATGGACTCCTTTTTACACATTTATTAATATGGAAATTATTTCTAATGTGGTAAACAGATATTTCCATTTTCAGTTTTCATGTCACAAAAATTCAGTTTTTCGGCGAATACACCATACTCTCTGTATCAATTATCTTCAGTTCTGCTTGATTTTTAATTATTTAAATTTTAAAGTATTTGACTTCTCATTATTTTAGCAGCAAATGTTTTGATTTCCAGATCATCAAATCCTTATAATAATGTTATTAAATATTGAGATTTGTAGATTATTGACTGCAGAACCAAACATACAGTTAGCAGTTTGTTCATTAACATGCAGAGTAAAATCTCTGAGTGAAACATCTCTCTTGTGAACACCTGTCTCTAGTGGACACCCTTCCTCCACACATACCCTACTGACTTCTCTTTAAAATTACCCTCTCTGTAATGAACATGTACCAACAATGAACACTGTTTTTCTTGGCAAAAAGAAATGTTCAATATGCACAGGTTTTACGGAAACCCCTTTGGCTTTTCTTTGCATTTAATATCAAGCTGTAGGCACTTCCAATTGTTTGAAGAAATTAGTGAAAGAACAATCTAATAATAACAAAGGTCATGTTTTTCATTTTCAATGTACAATGTATCTTTATTTTGAGGGTAAAAATTTGTGCTGCATAGAATAACATTTGTGCTGTATATTTGTGTGTTTTTCTTCTTAATGCACATATCTGTATAGCACTCAGTTGTTTAATTAATATAAATTCAAACCACCATTGACTATAATACAAGTATGTTGTTTTTTAAAACCACAGGTCCGTAGCTAGGATTTGCCAAAGGAGGGTTCACTTTTTGAAAAATTCCAGGGGGGATTAACTAGTGACAATTTTGGTCCAAAAATCACTTAAAAAATGCTCAGAATGTTGAAAAAAACGCATGATTTTGCTCGAACCCATCGAATCCCCCTTGGCTATGGCCTAATCCATCTATCAGTTTTCACAGATGCATGCTAAACATGAACAATGTCACTACCTACCATTTCTTACAAACACCGAAAGCTCACAATGCCAACTGTCATCACAAAAAAGTTGGAGACCATAACAATATGTCACTACTTTTGGTGGTGACATAAAAAGTAACCTCAGGTCTGTAGAAACTCATTCACATGTTTGTAAGATATATTCACATGTTTGTAAGATATATTCACATGTGAATTTCACATGTTTATAAGATATATTCACATGTTTATAAGATATATTCACATGTGAATTTCACATGTTTATAAGATATATTCACATGTTTATAAGATATATTCACATGTGAATTTCACATGTTTATAAGATATATTCACATGTTTATAAGATATATTCACATGTTTATAAGATATATTGTTTGTAGCATCTGATTCTCTTTGTCCTTTTAATGCCACATCAAAATGTTTAATTCATTTTACAGCTGTTCATTAATTACAAACTTTCCTAAATGTTCTTTGAAAATCAATAAACTATTGAAATGGAAAAATACTGCATGCAACACCAGGCAGTAAAATCCAATATTTCTTGGCAAGAATGTTGAGTTTTAAAGATGTTGAATTTCTAACATATCTTATAGCATGTAACAATCTATAGGCATTCAATTATTTTGGTTCTCAGTGATGTTAATCCATGGAACCCATGCCCAATCATGTTTGTCAGGGAATCCAGCCGGGTCCTGAGGTTTGTTCCTGGGAGCTACCATGGTTGCATTGTATGACTGAACCCTTGCTAGAAGTTGTTTCACTATGTCCGGATGACTCTCTGCTATGTTGTTGTATTCGCAAGGATCAATAGCCACGTTGTACAAACATGGGGCAACTGTGGGTTTACAGTTAGTTGAGGCATTGCTTGGTTTGGGACCACAGTCCACTTTTACTGGAGCTTGTTTCATAGTTGGAATGTTAGTGTACTGAGCGAGAATATCTGCAAGGTCATTGTTATAGAGTTCTGGATCACGAGGCTGTTGCATAAATGAAACTTCATTCTCCTTGACATTGTCATCAAAGGTCAATGAAACGGGGTCAAAGGAAATGGAATCCTTTGGAAGCTGATAAGGTGGATACCAACCACTCCATTTTCCATTATACATCTCACCAGATATCAGTTTAAAGTCTCCAATCCTCATGGCATATGTTTTTGTCAGTGGATCAATATTGAGCAATATTTCCTTCCTGGCAGACACTCCATTGTTGGATAATGAATCAAATTGATCAACGCCATCTATGGGCTTTGGGGCATGAGTGTCAACACCAGCTGCATGGAGAATTGTTGGCAGCCAATCAGTTACATGGACAAGTTGTTCAGAGACATATCCCTGTTTCTTGAATAAAGGACTCCATACAAAGCCAGTTCCTCTAACACCACCCTCCCAAAGTTGAGCCTTTGTACCCCGTAGAGGCCAATTAGATGCAGCATTCCTGTCAAATCCATTTGCAGGGCCGCCATTATCCGTTGAAAAGATAATAAGGGTGTTTTCAAGCATACCACGGGCATTGAGTGCTTTTGTTACATTTCCGATTGAATCATCTAATGCAGATAACATCCCTCCAAAAAGCCGCCTGTTTTCATTCTGAATATGTCCAAGCTTATCAGTATATTTCTTAGGGGCTTCAAGTGGAGTAATTGTATTCCCACTGTGAACTGCCTGATGGGGGAGATACATAAAAAGAGGCTCGCTAGCGTTATGCGCATTGATTATAGACTCAGCTTCCTTAGTAAAAAGCTCTGTTGAATACTCCCCAAGTTTATCTTTCAAAAGTTCCTTATCGCGTCTAAAATCAAGGCCCCAGTATCTAGGATCCCCATTTCCTGGGTCGTATGTATGATCAAAGTAGTCCTCCATGCCTTGGTAGTAACCCAAATGTGATTCAAAACCTCGGTATGTTGGAGTATACTCCCAGGAATGAAAGCCTAGATGCCACTTCCCAACCATATGATTCCTATAGCCTTGGGCTTTGAGGTATTGTGGGAGAACCATCTCATCCAATGCAAGTCCATATGGAGCAGAGCCAACTAAAACGCTATGTTGTAGCCCAGTGTGAATAGGATATCTCCCAGTGAGTAACGCACTCCTGGTTGGTGTACATATCGGCTGCACATAATAGTTATTCAGAATTATACCACTGTAGGCGAGTGCATCAATGTTTGGTGTAGGGATCTGATTAGAACCATGGAAACTGACATCATTCCAGCCAAGATCATCAGCTAGAATCAAGATAATGTTTGGCTTGCTTGTTTCACCACTTATGGTCATAATGCACCAGATTATGACCAATAAATGCAAAGAAAACCAGGGCGCCATCTTTCAGAGATGTTTGTTTTGATCTCTTAGACCTGGATGATCTGTGCAATCAAGTACCAGCCTGAAAGCAAAGCAAGCATCACCCAATTAATCAAATTCTTCATAAATCATGGCATAATTCATCAGAAAGACTTTAAAATAGGCTAATAAGGGACTTAAGGTATTAGGCTTGCTTTGCCTAAAGTTTGGTACAGGTTTGCAGAAGCACGCTGAAATATAAATCATGTACTTCACATAATGTTTGCTTTATATACAGTACTGTAACGTGGTACTTACTTTGACCGTTAATTTGAATTTTTGACCTACTAGATGTTTGAAAATTGGATTGCGATTCTCATATTGCATCGGTTTACTTGTTCCATTCAAAGCATAACAAAAATGGTTTCTGTTGGTACATTATTCTGTTATACCATGGGCTTTCAACTTAATTGAAAGCCCATGGTTATATACCGAGTCCCTACTTTCAGCAGCATTTTGGGTCACGACAGGCCTTACAACTTAAAAACACTTAATAACATGGTGACGGTTGAGCCAGGCATAAGTCTTGCAATAGATAGCATGTGAAGAAATGGTACATTTTGGAGTATGAAACTCTGGTGCCGTTTTCAATAGCTTTTACTCTAAGTGTTGTTGGCTTTTAACAGAAGTTAAAGTTACCCGCAAATAATCTATCCATTGCATGGAGTTGGTAATTTTCTTTGATATAGCGAAACATATGAGTAAAAAAATAAATTATGTGGATTTCCTAGTGTTTCTATGCAAAATAGCACGCTCGGTCACAGCGGACAAATTTTCAGCCTATGGATGTACATAATTCTGAAAACGTCATCCATTGCCAAAACTCGACTGGATCTTACCACTCAACAAGAAACAGTCAAACGAGGCAAATAGATAAACTATAATTTCGAGTGATACATACTAGTCTAGAGTCCATTTCACTGCTTCATTTCGTCAGTATAACGGCAAATATAAGAAATTGGGAGACCATTGTGCAATAATATATGGAAAAGTATATTCATAATGTACATGAATGACATTTGTATATCTTGGATTGCTTCTAGTTTGGCTTATAAAGTGTGTGGCCTCTTATATTTGGATGTTTCTCTGCCATGTTATTTTCAATAAGATTAACATGGCTGAAATTCTTCAAATTACAAGACGGCACAGGCTTATTGCACAAAAAACTAAAAAATCTGAAATATACAAATGTCATTCATGTACATTATGAATATACTTTTCCATACAGTTGGGGACAAAAATAAATGACAGGTCGATTTTCGATCACCATTTCCTAATTATGGTGGTCTGAAAGCCCATAATTTCCAATATTGTCTAAGACAATGTTTATGTTTAGATACATATCCCTTAAAATTTGTATAGGGGAAGTGGTCCTAATTATCGCACGGTCCTAATTATCGCACGATTGTCCTAAATAGCTAAAATATGCACCCACCATCTTTTAAACCAGTGTTACGAAAAACAGTTCAACACCATTACTCCCAATCTTCATGATTTATTCATATATTTAGAAATATCTCTTCATTTTTTAAGAATTGTTAACTTCCGCCATTGTCATAAATGCTTTTGCGCAAGAAGTGAAATTCGTCTGACAAATTTTGACCCCCTCCAAATAAAGACAGAAAAGTAAGTGTATAATGTATATTTTGTTGATATTTTACACTAAAACTGATAGAAAAATGATTACAGCATATGTATGTATCTGTTATAAACAGAGAAATGTATACAGTATCGTGAAATGACATCTGAAACATAACTGTGCGATAATTAGGACGACTGTGCGATAATTAGGACCACCGCACATGCGAGTCTAAGGGGTCTTAAAGTGTTAGCGTTCGGAGATTGAGAAATGTCAAACACTACTTAGATTTTAGAGGAAAGGTTGATCTTTCGTCTCATATTCTTAAAGTAAGTTGAAGTTATCATATTTGAAATCATCAGTAGTTTCCCTGAGTACCTGTGATGATAGGACGACTTCCCCTATTTTACATTTTGTATAATCTCATCCACTGATTTATGGCCTCTTGTAAATTCTCTTATTTTTAACATGGGAAATCCTCACTTCAGCAAATCCACCTGTCATTTATTTATGTCCCCAACTGTATATTATTGCACAATGGTCTCCCAATTTCTTATTTTTGCCGTTCTACTGACGAAATGAAGCAGTGAAATGGACTCTATAAGACTCTTGTGGTCTTGTTTTATAGCTGTGCAAGTTAAAGATGAGGTGTAATCAAGGCGAGAATAGGGAAATAAAACAGGTAACTTTTTTGAATTCGTGCTTCCACCAATCCTGATAAAATTACATGGCAGCTCTACACTGGCGGATCTGGGGGGGGGGGGCCCAGGGGCCCGGGCCCCCCCCCCCCCCTCGGGTGGGCCCAGAAAAAAAAAATTGGGCCCAAAAAAATTGTTAAGCCAAAAAAGGCCTTGTTGCCCCAAAAAGTGGGCCTTTTTGGTCATAAATGGGCCTTCTAAGGCCTTATTTTTTAATTTTAGGCCAAATTTTGAAGAAAATGGGCCTCAAAATTTCAAAATTTGGGCCCACATTTTGGTTTTAGGGGTTTTAGGGACGTTTTTTTCTCAGACCAGAAATTTGCCCCCCCCCCCTTGTTGGTTCCCAGATCCGCCCCTGGCTCTAAGTTTCGAAAGAAACATTGATTGAAAGTCCATGTCAGGAAGTGAAAAAATTTAGAAAAAAAAAAATCTATCTCTTATCTGAAACTAAGATGAAAGTCAAACTCAAAATCACAAGACCTGTCAGTGAATCAACCAAACTAAAGCAAATTATTTAATAGTTTCAATATTGCCTTCGAATACAGCCTACATAGAAACAAATTAGTGTCTTACCTAAATTTTTTGACCTGCAAAGTTGATCCACTTTGACCTATTTAAATTGCGCATGCGCAGTTTGATGATTGCTATAGTAGCCAACTGCCAATCGATTTTAGATAGTGTCTGACTCTGAATGCATTAATTAAAGGGAATGCGAAGTTTTGTCTTCTAAACTTGATTATAAGTTTGAATAAAGATACATCTTTCAATGGGGGGGGGGGGGGGCGGTGTATAGAGGTTACTCACTTCGAGAGCCATGTTAGATTTTGAAACTAATGGCTCTCAAACGGAGAAGTGAACAGCTGATCAATAGTGACCTTTGAAATCGAATTAAGTCGATCCGCGGCTTACTTTTGGTCTCTAACTGTGTCTTACATCAGTATCATCAATCCGTGTAAGTATTGGAGCGCTGGAGTACTTCTTTTTCGATCAAGACTTGTAAATTGTTCATCGAGTGAAAGTTTTTTAGACCTATTTCCAATATGGCGGTTTGCTAGGTGCGAGATACGCAACGAACGAAATGAATTTTGAGAATTAGTTAGGTTCGGACAACCTCCGGAGATTTACGAAAATGTCCGAGCAGAAACCGCCATATTGGAATTTGGCAGTAAAACGATTCACTCGACTAACAATTACAAGTCTTTTTTTTTTTTTTTTTTTTTTTTTTATATAAATTAATCTTTATTTTCACATATTATTGTTTACAGGTTATTAATGTTGTTTACTGTAGGAGAGAGAGAGAGAGAGAGAAAGGAAGATTGATGATTTTTGTCACTTTGTATAAATTGATGATATTAACGCAAAAGTCTGCTACAGATATTCCATAGTGTCTCATGTTGTTCCATTTTGTTGTTTTTCTTCGCTATGTATTTTTCTTCTTCTTTTTGACTCTGGAGGTATATTTTAAAAGGACCTAGTTCTGGTCTTTTGTCTCCTAATTTTCTTAAGTATATGAAATGTTTCATATGGATCAGTAGCTTATTTTGTTGTCTTTTTTCTCTACTGTATCCCAAAATAATGTCTTTATTTTCTGGTATGTTTTCACCAGCTTCCTCATAGCACGTTCTCAAGAAGTCCTTTGTGGCTGTACATTCTAGGAATCCATGTTCGATGCTATCTATATGGTTCTCATTACATATTGTACACATTGGCGTGTTTTTTCCCTCTATATTCATTTTGTTCAGCATTTTATTGAAGTAAATTGTTCTGTGTAATAATCTGAACTGGAAGTATCTAAGTTTCGCATTTTCTGTTATCACTTTATAAGTGGTGTATATTTCATCCCATTCTTTATAGTTATCCTCATTTACATTTAGCACCCTAAGCCACTTGTTTTGTGCTTTTATTGGTTGTATTTTTATCTGTCTTTTAAACATCCTATAAGTGCTTTTATTTGAGATGTTTGGCAATTGTTCTCTGAGTGGCTTCCAGTTTGTACAAATTTCTCCCCCTTCCACCATTTTTTGTCTCCATGATAATGGTATACATAGTACAATTTTGTTATAGTCTAGGAATGTTTGATGAGCTAAATTATACTTGGTTTCCAGTTCTTGGAATCTTAATAATTTGTTCTCTTTATATAACTGATGTATATGCCTTATTTCCTTAGATTCCCATTCATTGTTGTTTATAGTTTCTTTTCTGTTCAGAATGCAGCTGTTATTCCATATAATTTGATGTTTTATTTCTTCCTTCGTGACAAGTTCATTTGCTGCTTTGTAGTGTAGCTCACACCATATTTTTAGTATTTCATCTATGCTTGTAATGTTCACCTTGTCTTCTAGTGTTTTTGGGTCCTTAGCATTACAATTCCATTTTCCCTTATTATCATAGTTTTTTAGCTTCATTTTCCATAAAGTTTTCCATTTACCTTGGTCATCTGTATTGAAATATTTTCTTAACCATTTAACCTTTGCATTTTTGGCAAAGGCTTTTAGGTTAACCATTTCTAGTCCTCCTTTGATCAGTTCTAACTGTAATATTTTTCTTGAAATTTTATCTTTTTTGCCATTCCATATAAACTTGTATAGTTTTGTTTCAACATCTTTAAGATATGCATCTGATGGAAGGGGTAAAACTGCTAGCAGAAAGGTTAATTGAGAGATCATTAGTGATTTGATTACATGAATTTTCCCTATCGGTGTAATCATTCTTTGCTTCCACATTTTGATTTGGGCTTCAATTTTTTCCAAAGCTCCTTGATAATTAATGTCTTCTATTTTATCCCCATTCATAGGAATGTTTATACCTAAGAGTTTAATTTTTCTTTTTTCTAATTTTAAGTTCAATGATTCACACAGGGTTTCTATTTCACGTTGATTTGTTTTTTCACCAATTATGGCTATTTCTGTCTTTTCTTTGTTGATGCATAGACCTGATGTCTCTCCAAACTTCTCGAGTAATTTTATAGCTGGCTTTATCGATGTTTCATCTTGGAGAAGTAGTGTAGTGTCATCAGCAAACTGTGCTGTCTTTACTTCTGTATTCAGGCCATCATTCAGTTTAATTCCTTGTATGTTTGTTGCTCTTCTTATGGCTGCGCTTAGTAGTTCTGCTCCAATGATAAAAAGGTAAGGAGATAATGGGCACCCTTGTCTTACTCCTCTAGTTGGGTTAAAGTAAGGTGAAGTAAAACCGTTATTGAGTATTGTGCTACTGATGTTGTTATAGAAAATTTTTACCCACTTTATTATATTTTCACCAAAGTTAAAGTATTTTAGCGACTTGAGTATGTAGCTGATCTCAATTGTGTCGAAGGCTTTTTGAAAATCAATTAGAGTTATGATTCCATATCTGTTTTCATTTTTCATGTGTTCATTTAGATCAATCACAAGACGTATGTTTTCTCCGATATAACGTCCTTTTAAGAAACCCGTTTGGTCACTACTAATTATGTGCGGGAGCACTTGTTTTATTCTGGAGGCTATCAATTTTGTAAGTAGCTTATAATCAGTATTTAGGAGCGTTATAGGCCTCCAGTTTTTAAGCTTCATTGGATTTTTGCCTTTTTTTGGTATTAATGTTATCACACCTCTTTTTTGTTCGATCGTCAATTCTCCTTTTAAAAATGTTTCTTCAAAACTTTTTAGCAGGTATGGGGCTAAAAGTTTCCAGAAGTGTTGATAGAAATCTGTGCTTATGCCATCACTGCCAGGAGTTTTTCCTCTTTTCATCAGTTTTAGTTGTGTGAGGCATTCTGCTTCTGTTATATCATTTTCACAATTTTGTTTTTGGTCTTCGGTTAGTTCCTCGGTGTCTTTCTCTTCCGGGAAGAATATGCTTTTGTGTTTTTCTTCATCTACATTGGTTGATCTGTATATCTTTTCATAAAACTTCATTTGTTCTAGAGCTATGTCTTTTTGTTTTTCAACTATTTTCCCGTCGTCTGTTTCTATCTTTGTTATTGTTTTGTTAAGAAAATTCCTTTTTTCCAGTTTGAGGAAGTAAGCTGTGGGTTTTTCACCTTCTTCAATCCACCTAACTTTACTTCTAAATAGTGTTGCTTTTGCTTTTTCTGTATTTAAAATGTCAATTTCATTGTCAAGGTTTTCAATTTCATTATTTAGTCTCTCTTGCTCTATTTGGCAAGCAGCACTTTGCTTTTGTTGATGTAGTAGAATTCTGCGGCGCATCTTGATATCAAGGTAAGTTTTTGATTCTTCTTTTTTAGTCTTTGAAAATTTGACTGTAACTTGTTTTATGTTAAACTTTATTAACTCCCATAATATATTTGGTTGTAGAGTTGTGTTTTGCTTTGTTGTTTCTTGAATACTGTGTTTGATCAATTGGTCATATTCTTCATCTCCAATCCATTTGTTATTCATTTTCCAAAGTCCGGGGCCACGTGGTTGATCTGTAAATTTTAATTTAAGGGTTATTAGTTTGTGGTCTGTAATCTTAATATATGTGTTTGGATCTATTATGGCTTCTTCTGTACATTGGAATACGTCTCCTGAAACAAGAAAGTAGTCTAGTCTACACTTGATGGTTGAATTGTTGTTTTCCCATGTATAGTCATTGATTCTCTTGTTTTTCTGTCTCCATACATCTAGAAGATCGAAATCTTCGATTAGTGCATTTATTTGTTCTCTTGTTTTTCCATGTGTTGCATCTCTTCCACCATATTTATCGATATTTGGCTCTAAAATTACATTGAAGTCTCCTCCAATAATGATTTGGTGGTCTATATATTCTCTGAGTTTCTCGTTAATTTTTGGATACAAAATTCCATTGTCATGATTGAATCCATAAACATTTATCAATAGTGTCGGCCTCCCATGCATCAGGCACTGGATAAGGATATATCTTCCTTCTGGGTCCGTTTCATTTTTTATAATTTCTATGTCACTTCGATTTGAAAAGAGTACTCCTTCCCCTGCTGCATTTTGTGAGTACTGTGAGAAGAAAGCCTTGAACTCCCATTCCTGAGACCACAATGATTCTTGCTTGGATCCACTGTGTGTTTCTTGGAGAAAGAGAATGTCAATTTTGGCTTTTCTTGTAAGATTGAATATTTTTCTCCTTTTGATCCTATTTTGCAAACCCTTTGCGTTTAGTGATGCTATTTTAAGTGACATTATTATTGCTTTGAACCTGGTTCTTACCTGTCTCTCTCTCTACTCTTGTTAAATTATACATGTTTGTTTTAGTTATCTTAGTATTAATATTAATTAAAAATATATAAAAAATGAGTAAACAAAAAGAGGAACGTCCTAAGGAAAAAAGATGCTTGGTAAAAAAACGTCTAGAGACTGGGCCTAATTTTAGAAGAACAATTGGGGATAAAAAAAATTGAAAGTCTTATTTTATGAATTTCTTGTGATATCTCGTCGTGTCTCTTCGATCTCGGCTGATAAGTCAATCTGTACGTTGTTTATGAATAATTTATCCAGGTCCCATCTAAATTTTTTCTGCTCTCGTTTGGCGGCTTTTATATGGTTCGCGTACGCTTTACCCCGTAGTTTCCTCAGCTCGTTCGGCAAGTCTTCTCTGATTTTTACTGTTTTGCTGTTCTGTTTCGTCCAAGCCGTTTTCTTAACTCGGTCTACGTCTCGTCGTGTTTGGAATTCCACGAAGATTGGTGCGATTCGTCCTTGACCTCCCGGTGCTCCCATTCTGTATGCATTCGAAATCGAAACTGCGCAACCGATATTTCCCAGGCAAGTTTCGACTGTTTTTATTACATTTTCGCCTCCTTTCTGCTCTATATTGTCGATTATCAGGTTTGTTTGCCTTCTCTGGAGATCTAGTCGTAATAATTTCTCTTCGGTTTGTTTAATATTGCGCTTATTTTGCTCTATGTCCACGGTCAGTTTCTTGGTTTTCTCGCTCAATTGTTTTTTCATGACGCCAATGTCTGATTCAATTTTTTCGAATTTCGTCATTTTTTCATCAATATTTGCCAGACTTTCGTTTATAGGATTTATTCTAGCGTCGATAATCTCTATGAGCATCCTTTTCAGGTCATCATTTCTTGGTAGCTCTTGCAGAGCTTCGCTGAAGAGTTCAGTTTCGGTTTGTTTGTTTCCGCCTTCCGCCATTTTGTCTTTGTTTACTTTTTTGGCCACTGAGTTGGTTCGGAAATCAGTTATTTTCCTTTGATTTTTTGAGTATGATTGTTTTTTGGTTGCAGATCTTGTTTGCATAGTACTTCAGACGTTTGGTTTTATTAGCTACTGTTCATGTTTTGCCCCATTAGATCTTTATTTTTGATAAAAACGGCCCTGTCTAAAAAACGATGTCTCTAGTCGGTAATCTCCATAGCAACCTCACAATTACAAGTCTTGATCGAAAAAGAAGTACTCCAGCGCTCCAATACTTACACGGATTGATGATACTGATGTAAGACACAGTTCACTGGGGATGAACTGGAAACGAGGGAGGTTTTGCCTCGTATCAAAATGGCGGCGCGTGAAAAAATTTCATTCGTTAAGATTTTTGTTTTTTACAATTTTCGTGCTTTTATCCTTCAAATTAAAACTTAATATTTGGCAAGTAAATAGTTCATAAGTTCCGGTTTTATAATATGATTACAAATTAGAAATCAATACTGGCATTGCTGAGATATTTACATATCAATTCTCTCACTTAGGAAACGAGGCATGTTTCTCAAGGAAACGAGGCAGCTATATAGCATTCTTTTGAATGAAACGAGGCAACCATATTTAATTAAAAATGTTTTGTTTTTATTACAGAACGGGGCCTACAAAAAGAAGCGTCCCTGTTCAAATGCTATTTCTGTAACACAGGAAACGACAACGTTGCTGATATTGTATTCCATATGATGCAACAGACCCCTCCATTGGCAATATGTTGAAGCTTCCTAAAAAGCAAAAATGTTATGTTGAATAGGGAAGCAGATAAAGACAGTTGTGAACAAAGCTTGCTTTTATTCTACCTTGAAACATCATTTATTTTAATTCACGATAGCGACATCATAATATTTATGCCATCGACCATTAACATTTTTCATATGGCTAATAATCTAGAAAATACTATCTATCTATGAATATTTCATTTACAAATGCATTGCCATTTCTAGCATTTAAGAAAATACAAGGCATAACATATGACACGTGTTGTAACTTAGTAATAACAAATAAGTCCATTTATTTGCTACCATTGTAACATATGTCCTAAGAAATACTTGAAAGTCATAATAAGTTTATAATTGTTCACAGTAAAATATGATGTCAGTCTAAGCGGTACGCATTTGTTCAGTTTTTGAAAGTTGCTAAAATTGCTAAATAATTTGCTATTGACGCAAAACGCCAGACGCCGAACTCAAGACACCGAACTTTTCCACATTTCGTTGGACTATATGCAGAATAACATAATTGATAGTGACATAATAAGGAACATACAGACATTAAAGAATACAAACAGTAAAATCCAATGTACACCAATGAGACAATGCCAGTGTGCTCCTTGACTCTGCTATTTTTGTAATATAGGCGAGTCATTTAATTATTACCATGGTCATTCGTTTTTTATCGTATCTGGAATTATATTCTATCAAATATAGCAGGGCCGTCAGATGGGGGGGGGGGGGGGGGGTGCGACCGCACCCCCCCCCCCTTTGTCACCCCCCAAAATATTTTTTTTTGTAATTTTTTTTAATTGACTCATACACTTTGAAAGTACCCAGAAAGCACCAAATAGCATCTTAAAATTGTAAAATTTTCTAGGGGGATTGGCCACCCCTCACACCCCCCACAAAACAATGGAAATGTTCTAAATTTATTTTAGTGTTTTGTCTCAGACACTTTCAAAGTGCCCAGACATCATCAAATAGCTCCTTGATATAGTAAGTGTTTCTGGGGGACTTGCTCCCCCTCTTGCATTTTGCACTTGCATAACCCCCCTCCCTCTGGCGCCCCCCCCCCCCCCCCTTGACCCCCTCCCCCCAAAAAATTGTGATTTTCTCAAATTCTTTAATTGACTCATACACTTTGAAAGTGCCCAGAAAGCACCAAATAGCGTCGTAAAATTGTAAAATCTTCTAGGGGGAGTGGGCCACCCCTCACACCCCAAACAAAACAATGGAAAAGTTCTGATTTTGTTTTATGTATTGACACTTTTAAATTGCCCAGACATCATCAAATAGCTCCTTGATAAAGTTAATGATTCTGGAAGACTAACACTTACTCGCCCTCTGGCATCCCCACTCCACCTCCCCCTCTGGCAGCCCCCCCCCCTAACACCCCCTTTGAAAGTGCCCAGAAAGCACCAAATAGCACCTTAAAATTGTAAAATTTTCTTGGGAAATAGGCACTTTTAGGCACAGACACTTTTAAAGTGACCAAACTTCATCGAATAGCACCTTGATATTGTAAATGTTGATATGGTGGACAAACACTTGCTCCCCTCTGGCACCCCAGCCCCACCTCCCCCTCTGGCACCCCCCCCCCCCATTGACAACCCCAAAATTTGATGTGCTTGTTTTTCAATGTTTTTATTGACTAATACACTTTAAAAGTGTCCAGAAGCACCAAATATCATCTTTAAATTGTAAAATTTTCTAGGAGAGTTAGCCACACCTCAGATCCCCCACAAAACAAAAGAAAATATTCCTTGCTCCCCTACTGGCCCCCACCCCACTTCACCCTCTCATCCTCTTTGACACCCCCAAAAGAATTTGAAAAAAAATTCACATTTTTCTTATTGACTCATAACGCACAGGCGTACCAGATGGTTGCAAATTCGCTCCAAATACAACCAAATTTCAAAATTTTCCTGGGGAAGGACCCCAGACCCCCCTGAATGCTCGGTTTTTATTCACTCAACTCTTATTCCCGTGGTGGTGGCGTACTACTTGGAAACTTACACTTTGAAAGTGCCCAGAAAGCACCAAATAGCATCTCAAAACTGTAAAATTTTCTAGGGGGAGTGGACCACTCGTCACGACCCCCACAAAACAATTGGAACGTTTGGAAGTTGCATTTGTTAATTCCAAACCAATATAGATAGTAACTGAGCCCCCCCCCCCCCCCATCTGACTTACGCGATTTGATTTACGCGGCAAAAAATTGACAATTTTATATTCTCTTTAGTAAGCTAAAAACCGCACCCCCCTTGGAGAAAAGTGTCTTACGGGCCTGGAATAGCCATCTCGAGCAACAACAATGCCCCATTTGCGTACGATTAGTAGGGAGGTTTAACGACACATGTTTTAAAGAGAAGTGTACGTAAACGTGTAAAATTGCAATCTTCAGAGAACTAGTTCTTGTCTTCAACGTCTTTATTTGCATGAATGATTACAAAGGTATCAGTTAAACTGTTTTAATTTTGTCTTTGTATAAGTCAATCCAGAACGGAACTATAGTTCCCAGGGGTCATTTCACGTTTACGTTCGCCATTTCTAAAATACGTGTAGCTTAACCTCCCTATTAAAATAGGACTTCTTTGAACGAGATTTTTCTTATTTGAGAGAACATTTTGACGATATATGCGCTACCATTGATAGCTCGGATAGCTGGCTCGTTTATTGGAATTGACACTCAAAGCAATGCTATTTAACGTTTTCGAAATATTTAAAAATAAAACAGTATAACTCCTTAGCATAAATTTTAAGCTGCAGCAAAGAATGAATCAAGTGAAGTGCATGGGCATTTTCTGTACTTAAAGATGAACCTTTACAACATGTAGCTTAACTAAATTGGTACAGTTAGACTTTTCTTTGCTCTTACATATATAATCATGTATATCGTGTAAAACGTAATCGGTCGTATGTGACCAGAACGGTGGAAATAAGATCATTAAATGTAGACACTATCACAGAAAGAATAGTTGCCTCGTTGCAAGTCAAACATTGCCTCGTTTCATTGTTACAAAATGTAGACAGGTGCCTCGTTTCCTAAGTGAGAGAATTGAAATGTAAATATCTCAGCAATGTCTGTATTGATTTATAATTTGCAATCATATTATAAAACCGGAACTTATAGACTATTTACTTGCCAAATATTAAGTTTTAATTTGAAGGATAAAATCACCAAAATTGTAAAAAACAAAAATCTTACCGAATGAAATTTTTTCACGCGCCGCCATTTTGATACGAGGCAAAACCTCCCTCGTTTCCAGTTCATCCCCAGTGCAGTTAGAGACCGAAAGTAAGCCGCGGATCGACTTAATTCGATTTCAAAGGTCACGATCATTGAGCTGTCCAAATGCTCCGTGGGAAAGCTATTATATCAAAATCCAAATAGCTTTCGCAGGAAGTAATATAGAGGGTCTTGGAAATGCATTATACAATATTTTTCAGCTCTCTTATACCATATACAATATTTTTTCACCCCTTTTATACAATATACAATATTTTTCACAGCTCTTATACGATATTTTACAAAAGTTCAGGTGAAATACAATATACGATAATTTTGAAACTGCTGTTGATTAAAGTTTGGATATTTATAAGGAAATAATATTAGGAGAGAATCCATGTACTAAGTAAATGTACTACTATAAGGCACAACTATGATTTCATTTATTACATTAGAATTAATAAGACACCATTCGGGTACATTCGCATGTTCAGAAAAGCTGTGACCACATTTTATTTTCAGGTAAACAAGTTGATTTAAAACACATTTATGGTATAAGATTCATGACTTCTCTTTAGTGATTTCACAACCTACTTTGACCGAAAAACTAACTTAACATTTCTGCAATTTGCTATTACCTATAAAAGTACCATAAAGATATTCAAAATTAGCACAAAACCTGCATCATTGGAATGGGTGGAACTCAGTGTTCCTCTTTCTTATGACTTACTTTTCCATGACTTATTTTAATGTCAATGGAATCCTTCATAGTGAGCCAGGGAAAAAATTCCTTGAACTATTTGATGCAAAATTGAGAATGTGGAATAAAAGATTCATCATGTGTTCTATGAAAATAAAGTTTGCTGAGGAAAATATGTATCAGAGAGATTATGAAGATTCACAATGCACAATCGTTTTGTAAAGCAGTTACATGGAAAATATTAACAGGACTTCACAAACTTCCATGTTGATAATTCATTTTTGATTGAACTCGAGTCTGA